AGGTGGGTATAGTTTAACAGTCGCATTTCCAGCAAACATGAAGATTGCATCTGAAGAGGAAAAGAAATATCTTGGACATAATGCTTATTGCAAAGCCTGTTAAATGATTGTTAATCCTCAAAAAGAAACATGTGATAACACTGGACACTTTGGGCCTTTGACTCCTAGACTGACAATGTATATCAGCAGGTGCAAGACTTTATTCGCTAAATCAAGGGGTCTAAACAACAACAACAAACACAAAAAACCCATAAACCACACAAGCACTTATATTCCTAGCCTCATAGCATAGCTTTTAAGAATGGTTAAAAGAAAAGTCTGCTTTTAGATATATTAAGTTTGTACTGGGACTACTAAGAAATACAATTCAACAAACTTCCTGATTATAAAGGAGCTCTAAAGGAATCTTTTAGAGGGTACTATGACATTCCTGTGAGATACCTTCAAGACACAATCTGGAAATCTCTTATTCAAAGAAGGTTACCTCAGTTTAAGTAGCACCTGTAGTCAAGGAAAAAGTGTCCAGGTTCATCATTTAGTCTCTACTCCACAAATCACTTTCACCTTGAGGAGTGTATTCCACAAAAGGGATTTCCCCTTTAGTCCATGTATTGAGACAACCTTCTGGTATCTGGTATTCTTGGAAACACTGCAACATTCACCTGCATTGGCTTTCCTAAGTGAGCACAGGACAGGAAGAAGGAGAGAAGCAAACAAAAAAAAAACCGTGGGGCAACACCATTTTACTTGACCCTCATAGTCCAGAAGTCTAATACCACATGCCAGATACTGTATTTAACAGCCCAGCCAGTCCTTACAACAATGTGCAATGTGGGAAGTTATACACATCAGAAAGCCTGTACAGTTCCAGGGCATTTCAGTCACTAAACATAATCTTAGAGTCACATTTAGCCTTTCCAAAACTCTGTGTAATAAAACACTATGCCACTTCAGCTGGCCACTCACGTTCACATCAGAAACATGCTGGCCCTCTTCATCACACATCAAGAAACTCTGCTACAACCAGTGCTTCAGTGACCTGACAAACAGAGACACAAATTTATTTCTCAACAACAGATTAAACTCAAAACGCAGATTTCAACAGTCAGTAACACCTCTCAGTGATTCCAGCTCTCTGTAATCCCCCTCTGGCCTCCCCCTTCCACAGCCTCCTGGTCTTCTCCATCATAAAATTCTTTATGGTCATGGAAACTAAGGCTGTGTAGCTTATACTGACCCTACAGTCCGGAAGAAGCTGTAGACAGTAATGGGAATGGCAGAGGTCTCTGTTGTTCAGATCAAGCATGGCACTGCAAATGTATTCAACCGCATCAGTGTTCTTCCTCAAGAGCAGCCCTTACTTTGAAATTATGGCTAATCACACACAAAGCATCTGGAAATGTGTTTTCCTACAAAGCTGTCTGAAAGCATATGTACTACAGTCAGTCTTTCAAGCATGAGAAACATATGGCAAAACCACCAGCGATACTCTTTACTGTTTCACTAGCAACACAACTTTGGAACATATACAAGCATGCCCCTCCAAACCCTTCCCATGGCTGTTCTCTCTCCTGAAGAAAGGCCAAATTTCTGAGGAACATATATGATAAGAATTACTCCGCACTTTGACAGCCCTTATCTCACGTCACACTGCTATCCAGGAGCGATTCAAAAGAAAGCATGCCATGTTCTGAGTTAATACATTTTATCACAGCAACCTCAACACTTACTTAAATAGAGATTCAAGTTAAGGCTGTACACTACATTGAAGCCTGTAAAAGATATGTATTGCTTTAGGACCATAACACTTTAAGCTGCTTGACATATCTGTCCCTGCAATAAGACAGAGGTGTGCCATTGGGGCGTGTCATCATTTTTAATCATATATTTAGGAAAACACACCCACACCTACTTCAGCCAGCAACATCGTTCTCTGGCTCCCACATGAGGCAGAATTCTGTGACTCAGGTCTGTATCAAAAATACTAAAACATCTGGAAAGCTGCTTTCCAATGACGACACCCTCTACTGGAGAATTATATAGTGCAACCGCACCTAAATGGGAAGCGGCTGTCCGAAATCACTGTCAGACTTTCCTCATAACAAAACGTGTCTCTGTGCTCCAAAGAATACAACTGCTTAACAGTGGAAGCTGAAGGAACACCTTGCAGGCATGTCTAGACAAATGCCCAAAAACCATGCTATGGAAGTTACAGAGTCATCCTGCCTCGGGTTCTCTGTGCAGAAGCACTGTAACATGCCAAGGCTGCTCAAAGGAATCTCCAGAACACTAAATACAAAAGAAGAGTAGGAAATTTCGTTAGGAATATCAACGTACAGACAGACTTCCACGAAGCTGACAGACTGCTTCTAGTACCACATCTGCTAGGGACTACCCGAAAACACATGGTGGCCTGCCTTTTCAAGTACCTTTTTGTTCAAAACCACCTTCCAACATTTACCCCCTTACGCATGCAGGAACACACCTGTTTCACTAACTGCTATATTTTACCAGTCTTACCAGATTTCAAACCAGAAATTTTGAAGATGGCACTTGGCTTTTCGTTAGTGACAAACCCCAGCAGCTGCCACACTGCCATCCCACTCTGGTCCGGATAACAAAAATAGACAGATCCTCCCATTCCTTCTGGAAATGGTATCGTTCCCAGCATGAAGACCACTACATGGTTGATGTTTTCATAGTCCGGTAAATCAAATACAAATTTGTCTTCAGCCACTTGTTGGGGAGCTGCTTGTACCTAAAGAGAACAAAGCCTTTATTAATATTACTATCCTTTTCATCTTTGACTGGAACTGTGAATTTCCTTTTACAGAAAGACACCTAAAGTGGAACAGAACAAAAAGTGAGGAATGTACTAACCTAAATAGCGAACAGCCAGATAAAAGTCAAACACAGCAGAGAACAACTGCAAAAAATATTACTAAAAAGGCACAACAGTCTTGTTCTACCTGCACTGAACGTATATCCCACCCGGGACTACAGGATCAGAATACCTTCGCTCCCCATGTGCGTAGGAGGAAAATAGGGTGCAGAAGAGGTTGCCAAGTCTATAAGCAGTGGCTGTTGACCACCTGGCTGGCACAACCCCAGGATCATGGAAACCTGTTCACATAGGAAATACAATAGACCTTGAGACAGGCAGTAGAAGGATGGCTAAATGCCAGAGCAAAAGATACCCTCCTCTTTACCCGAGATACCACATCCTTACAGCCAGCGCACAATCTAGCCTTAAAAAGCTTTTTTTAAGCTCCCAGGTTGTCCCTGAGGAGCCCAAGCCTCTCCGTTGTC